CAGAGGACTGCACGGGAGGGGATGACATCACCTTCCTCCTCCAGGAAGTGTTCCCAGATTTCCTTCTCACCATCGAGATTCTGGGAGGGGGCTCCTCTGATGTACTCCCCACCCCCCACCCCCGCCCTGGGCCTGGCCGACAAACTCGCCAGCGCTCCATTGCTCTCCTGGGCCGCGAGCCACTCGAGGAGACCTTATTTTCCACGGCCTTCCAGTGGCCCGTATGGCGTCTAACATTTCCTAAGTGAACTCAGGCAGCGGGGAAGCAGGACTAGCAATGGTCAGTGCACTGTGCCATCGCTGTGGCCAGCTCCCGGCACGTGAGCCTGGGAGAGCAGAACCAAGGGAAGGAAAGCAGAACACCAACGGTAACTGGACGGAAACTGCCTCCTGTGGCCAACAGCTGCAGTGTGGTTAAATGATTTTTTTAGTGGGGGGAAAGTAATTTGCATATTCAAACAGGCCAAGGAGTGCTGGAGCAGAAGGCTGGAAGGTGTGGGGGCCGGCCCTCTGAGGGAGTGGGTCAGCCCAGGGCCCAGGGTGGACGCAGAGGCCCAGACGGGGACGCCCCTTGCGCCCGGGCCTGTCTGCATGCCGGATGGGGACTCTCCAGCCAGGAGAAGAGGACACAGGCTGGGTACCCTGGTGGCCTCCGGCTGAGCTGGACAGAGACCCCCGCAGGTCTCGCCTCGCCCGGCCAGTGGCTCTGGGAATCCCCTTAAGGCCAGAGCCCTTCCTCGGTTTCCAAGCAGAACCTCCAGACTTTAACGAGAGTCCCCTTATCTCTGGGGTCCCCAAGCCGGCAGCCCCATCTCCCCGGACACCAAGCAAAGGCCACTGCACCCTCGTTCCTCGGCCTGGCCCCGGCTCTGAACCTCTCCGACACTGGCATGGAGCCCTGAGCACATCCCAGGTCCTCTGCCTCCCCCGGTCAAGGCCATGGGCTTTCCTGCACTCCGGGGGCTGGCACTGACCACCACCGGGCTGGCATTGTGCACCGAGGCCCATCCCCCTCTGACGACTGACACTAGCAGGGCAGGTGGGCGGGGCCCAGGCCCACCCCAGGAGGTGTAGGGCTGGAGAGCGGGCCCCAGGGGATGGCTGGTGGCCTCCTGACCCACAGGGCAGCAAGGGGTGGCCAGGAATGTGGGGTGGACATGGCGGGGGGGGGGGGCTCAGGCCCCTGCTCCCTCACAGGCCAGGTCGCATGCTGGGCAGCAGGGCTCCCGGGTCAGCCTCGGTCGGCAGGTGACTCACGGAGAGGAGAGGTCAGGCCAGGTGTGAAGAAACCAGCCGAGCCACTCCGGGTGCTGCCCTGGCTGGGGGTTGGGGGCCGGGCTGTTGGGCAGAGGAGTAGGGTAAGGGGAGTCCTGGGGTTCTCGCTCCCTGCTCTTACCAGCCTTCTTTCCAGAGACCCCCTGGCTGGCTCAGAAAGGGCACAGGTGGGGCTGGGAGCCTGGCCCAGGAAGCGGGTGCCAGGCCTGACGTCCAGGGAGCAGGGGTCCCCAGGGCGTTTCGGGCAGCGACAGGGAATGGAGCAGGTGGGCAGGGGAGGCAGGGGGAGAGAAGGAAACTGCTGCTGCACGGCCCAGCCCCCAACCCGCCCGGGAGCCCAACCCCAGGGCAAGGGTCACTCACGGTTCCTGGCGGAGGAGGAAGAAGCTGGGGTCTCCCCCCGCCCGGGGCTGCTCAGGTGCGGCGCCCCCCGGGCAGCACTGTGCTGTACTCCCCTCCCGGGCGCAATGCCCTGGCAGCAGCGGCGGGCACCTGTCCAGGGCTGCAGCCCGGCTGCTATGAGGCCCTGGGGCAGGGACGGTGACCACACCTGAAATCCCGTCAGGACCACAGCCTAGGGGAGGAGCCCCAGTAGCTCCTTGCGGCTTTTGCCTGAGTGGCCTCCTGGCGTGGGGGTGGGGAGTCTTCCCGGCCTTTCCCCCCACCTCCCCCCTCAGAAGCCTTGGCCTCTGCCCTCTCCTGGGCCATCTGCTATTGCCCCCCTCCCCCAGCTGCAGGCAGCAAGGTCAGGTTTGGAACAAACCTCCTCCCCCAGGGCCCATGCCTACCACAGGGCTGAGTGCACAAGGCGCTCAGAAAAGTGTGCTGTTGGGGCCCAGGGCAACAGGGTGGCCAGCACTGAAGGTGAGACTGAGCCTGGTGGCCAGGGGGTCAGGAGGTTGGAGCTGACCTGGACGTAGCCACTCCCTGGCTGTGTGACCTTCGGCCAGTCCCTCAACCTCTCTGAACCCCTGTTTGTACCCAAGAAAAATGGGGGTGGGGAGGTGGTGCTGCCCTCGCAGCAGCTGGGAGCTTGCCCGGTACCTGGACCTTTGAGTGAGAGCCCACAGAACCGTCAGCCCCATGGGGACTGCGCCTTACCACACTGTCCCCAGTGCCCAGCTCAGTGACGTGCATACACTAGGCGCTCACTCTGGACAATCTGAATGACAGGCCACAAATACCACAAAGAGTAGGGGCCCCTCTCTCCTGGGGGGTCCCTGGCTCTGAGCTGACGTCCACCAGATGGGCACCCCTCCCCCTCCCCAGTGACTCGTGTTAGCTCCTTGCCCCTCCCTCACTCCTCCCTGTCCTCAGCCTCCTCCCCTCCAGCCCCTACCCATCCACTTAAGCGGGGGCAGCCTCCATCGGGGCCTACAAGGCCTCCCTGCTGGGCCTGGCTCTGTGACATCCACATCCTCACCTGCACTCCCCTGACCCCCTACCCTCAGCCCCCTCGACTCGTGGCCTCCTGGTGTTCCTCCGCCTTTATTGACCTTGACCTCCCCCCCCCCCCATTTCTCAGCCTCAGGGCCAGTGCTGTCCTGCTTTTCCGCCATGTTCCTTGGCTGTCACTTCCTCCCGGGCGCCTCCTTTCCTCCTTTTGTCACCTCAATCCAGGGAGCCCCATCTTTCCTCCCCCCACCCCTCCCCGCTGTCTGCCTGTGAGTACAAACCAGGAAGCTGGACCTCAGCCCGACTTCCTTCCCCCCACCCCCAGCCCACCAACCCCAGAGGACTACAGAAGTCTTGGCCACTCCTGCAGCCCTGGCCCGGGGTTCTCTGCTCAATTCCACGCCCTTCTCCGCTGAGAGCCTTCCAAGAATTCAGGATAAAGTCCAAATTCCTTGCCAGGGCCCGGCTGGGCACCACCCACTCCAACTCCATGCTCTGCTGCGAGGCCCCAAAGACACACGGCTTTCCACACCTGGCCTGTGCCCTCACACCCTGAGGACAGCTCATCTGTCCCCTCTGGCCCGCTTCCTGCTCCTGAGGGCGGGTTCCAGGGCCATGGCTGTGCCTTGGTCACCTCCAGACCTGAAAGCTTACCTGGGGCTTGGCAGGTGTTCAGTCAATGCAGTCAATGCAATGACCGAGGGAGGGAGACAGGAAGCTGCTTCCCCAGGGCTGAGAGCAGGGTGGGGTCTTTCCCAGGGGAGAGCCAATTCCCCACCCAGGGAAGCTGCTGGGGACCTGGAGTCAGGGAGACCCAGAGCTGCCACCAAAGAAACTGTGACCACAAGGGGTGAGGAGTGAGGGTGGGGGTGGCATTGCTATACCAGGAGGGCACAGAGCTGCTAAGTGGGGCCAATACCCAGGGCTCCAGAGCCTGCTCTGTGCCCCACCCTCCTCACACCGCAGCCAGCAGGGAAGCTGCAGCACCTGCAGGGGGGAGGGGCATAGGTACGACCGGCAGCGACTCTGGTAGCAGCGACACGCGGGGACAGGGGGCTCCTTCCTGCCTGGACCTAGGGTGGTGGCCCTTGGGCAGACCCGCAGAGCCTTGGCTCCTGGGTAAGGGGCTGCCGCGCCTCGCCCCTCCTCTACATTCTCTGTGCGCACGCTTGCGGGGCCATCCGCGGCGGAGCTCGCCTCCGAGAAGGGCAGACACACTCCCACAGTGACCAGGACACAGAGGGTGGAGGCGTCAGGAGGTGTGCTGCTGGGGACACAGGGACCGGCCCCGTCGCGGTCCCCGCCCCCAGGTGCGGTTCTCCGCTCTGGCCACGAGGGGGCGGGCTGCCGCGCAGACGCCCGAGGGCAGCGGCGCACGCTGGGGCCGAGGGACGCAGAGGGGCCAGGGCCAGTCTCGGTGCGCCGCGGGCTCCGTGCCCAGCAGTCCACGCCTCCTCTCCTACACGCTCCCTCTACAACCCTAGTCCTTTGCTATTGTGGTCACACTTGGGGACCCAGCGGAGTCCAACTCGAGTCTCTGTGGCTTCAAACCCCAGACTCCGCACTTGAGGGAGAAGTGGGGGCGGCTGGGTTTGCGCACCCCTGGCTCAGCCCCGGCCCGTGGCTGGCATGCGTGCTTACGGGGATCACACCGGGTACAGAGAGAAATAAACGGAGGCTCCCCAGCAGCGGAGAGAGAGGCGGCGGGGCCGACGGCACAGGGCTGGCGGCCGACGCGGGCCGGGGCTGCCCCGCCGCCGGGAACTGCTCCTGAACTCCGGGGGCTCGTGCTCTCCGGAGCACCCTGGGGATGTGAAAGTGCTATTCAAACGCGCCCTGCATTCCAGCCCCCAAGTCAACACAACCGCATTCGGAAGAGAAAGGAGAAGAAAGTCCTCGTCTCGCTGGGCTTCTTTCTGAGGCCAACTCATCTCGAGTTGACGGAAGAAGGAACCGAAATGCTGGGAGCAGACAAAAAGGGAGGCGACGCGCGACCTCCACGTCCTACAGCTCCGCGGGCCCCAGCTCCCGGGAGGAGCGCAGGCCGCGTCCTCCGGGGTTTCAGGGCTTCTGGAGGGTCACGCGGGGTCACACCTGCCGCAGGTTACAGAACGTTACGGGGGCGGCACCCTGCCAACAAGCTCATTAGCATTTCTGCGGCAGAACGAGGGCATCCCCGCCAAGCGAGCTAAATCAAGGTCATTCACCGGTTCTAGCTTGCCACCTCCTGAGCTACGGGAGCCTCTGGAAAGTGAGCTGGGCCAGGGCCAGCGGACCCCCCCCCCCCAACACACACCTCGCGTGCCCGCCTCCCGCTCCGGGCAGCCTACCTGCGTCGGGCTCTCCGCCCGCGGTGCGCCGCGCAAGTCCGGGATGGCCTCGTAGATGTTCTCCGAGTCGCTGCGCGCCAGCGGCCGCGGGCACACCCAGGAGCCCGCCACACTGCAGGCCTTGGAGCGGCCCGCGCTCCCGAGGAGGCCGGCAGGGGGCGCGGCGGTGCGCGCCAGGTCGTCCAGGGACTGCGCTGGGCGCACGGGCGCCGCGGGTCGCAGGTACAGGCTGGCGGGCAGGCCGGGCGCCGGGTGGCTGCGCTTCGCCGCCGCGCCGCGCCGCGCCGGGCCGCACAGAGAGCTGGCGCGCCCTCGGGGCTTGGCGGGGCAGCCGTCGGGCGAGGGCGCGCTCACGAACCGGTAGTCGTAGGTCAGCGGCTCCGGCGCTGAGGGGCCTGGGTGCAGCAGCGTGGGTGGAGGCGCGGCCGAGGCAGGGTCGCCGAGCGCCGGCAGCTCGCGCACGTACTGCGCGGGCAGGTAGAAGGGGCGGCCGCCGGGCTCGCGCCGCACGTGCCACCAGTGCTCGGTGCTGCGGCGCAGCAGCCTGTAGCGCTCGAGGGGCTGGATGGCGACGCGGCGCCCGTCTTTGCCGGTGTACTCGAAGGGGTGCTCCACCAGCACGTACACGTCCCCCTCGACGTCTGCCGCCATCGGGGCCGCGGCGTTTCCCTGCAGGTAGCAAGGATGCGGAGCGCAGGGGCCAGGAGCGGGAAGGGCGCCGCACTGCGGGACCAGGACTCGGGCGCCAGTCTCGATCCCGCACTCGCCGTGCGCGTTCAGGCCTCAGTTTTCCTGTAGCTGAAATGGGGACTTGCATAAAATCATCTTGGGCTCTCCGACGGCATTCCAACCGCGCCTGCATTGGGGAGGGGGGGCGGCTCTTTACTGCCCGAGAAACCTTGTTTGACCGGGGCGATTGCCCGCTGCGAGGTCTGCACCGCATCTGCCTAGAAGTGGACCGAGCCGCAGTGTCCCCATCAGCGAAGTGGGAAGAACAGCCCATTTCCCGCCGCTCGCCAGCTCCGCCTCTCCTGCGCTCTCCCGACGCCCCAGCCCGCTGCGAGGGAGACTTGGCAGCGCCCCGGGCCCGCGGGGTCAGGGATGGGGCGCTGGCTCTGGGAGGGACCCCGAGGTGCTCTACCCTGGGGCTGTCCCGTCCCTGCTCAGGCGTGGGCATCTCGACTGCCAAGGCTGGGGAACCGGTTTTCTCGGTTTCTCCTACATTCCCAGTGGCTTCGCCGCAGACCTGGCCCAAGAGCCCTACTCGCACCGCCCCCTGATCTTCGGCTCCGTCGCCGCCTCCGGAGAGAGGCTGGACCCTCGCAGCTTGCCCACCTGCCCGTGAGAGTGGCCCCTAGGCAATGCACTTTGTGGTAGTGACTGCCCCTGCGGTGCCCCCTGCAGCGGCCCCACGTCCCCACCCCCACTGCCGGCTCAGCCTGGCTCCTGTTAGGTCGGGGCAGCGCCTGCCTGTGCCTCCCTCCAGTCCTCATTCACTGCCCCCTCTCCTGCCCTGCTGAGGTTGCAGGACCCTGGGGACAGGATCTGACTGGGGGGGGGGGCTCCTCTGCTTTCTCAGTGGGCCTCAGTAGGGGAAGGAGTGTAAACTGAGGCACACACACCCTAGGTCTTGGAGGCGGGGTCAGTGAGCCGCTCAGAGCAGGGTCAGCCACCTCCGGGAGGGAGGCCCCCCTCCCTCCCTCCGCCTTCCCCTGCAGCCCAGCCGGGCACTCACGTGGGCCGACCTGGCCTCGCGGAGCGCACGGGCTGGCTGGGCGGAGCCGGCGGCTGGCTGCGGGTTAGCGCTCCACCATCTCCCGGGAGGGGATTCCAAGGGCTAGGCCGGAGAAACTGCACCGAGCAGGAGCTGGCCAGAGCAGCAGACGGAGAAGCTGGCTCAGGAGCGCTGTTCCCCAGTGCCCAGTGCAGCAGGGGTGGGAAGGAGCACCAGTGCCTGTGCCAGGGACTCCACTGGGGACGGGGCCCAGAGCTAGGGAAGCTCTGGGGAAGGGGCGCCGGCGGTCGCGAGCGGAGCGCAGGCAGGGTAGGATCCCGCCCCCGGCCCGCCTCCCTCCCCCGCCCTCTGCGGGACTAGTTGTCCCGGACCCCTGCGCGCTGTGGGTGCGGGCCCTGGGAATGCCTAGCTCCGAAGCTGGTTGCCCCACCGGGCTTTGTCATTTGAGCAAGGCCATCTGCGCCCCGAATCCCTAACTACCAAACCTTTGCAGCCCGGCTGCCAGCACTGCGCGCCCTGGGCCCTCTGCCCCCGCCAGGCCCTGTCCCGGCGCTGCCCCGATGCACCCGGCATTCCCACGGCAGGGACGCCCGCTGGAGCGCAGTTCTTGGCTCCCGGCTCCCCTCCCCGGGGAAGCGAGGGGTAAAGGGAGCGGTGGGAAAGCAAGGCGGATTCCTGGAACGCGAGAACGCACCGTAGCCAGGAGGTGGCCTGAGTCGACTGCCCGGGCTGCTCGAGCTACAGCGGCGCCCATGCCTGGGACGGCGCTGGAGACCTGGGCCTTGTCCCCTCCGCTCCCGGACGGCGGGCGGCTCGTTGCCTTCCCCTCCTCCCCAGAGGGATCCGGCCCGCCCTGCGCATCCGCCCCAGCGCGCTGGAAAAGGGAGGCGGCTCGCGGAGCTCCCGGACAGGACCAGCCACCTGCGGCACCCTTCCCCCTCGGTTCAGCGCCCCCCGCCCGGCCCTGGCGGCCCTGGCACCTCGGGGCGTCCGCTCGTTGGCCTCGCTTCCACTTGCCCCGGCAGGCGCGCGTGGGCCCGCAGTTCGGCGCTCTCTCCTCGACCGCCAGGCTCCCGCACTGCCGTGTTTCCTGTTGAACAATATAGCGAGGGAGGCACCGGCGGAGAGCGCCCGGCACAACTTCCTCCCGGGCTGGGGCTGGGCTGCGGTTGCGAGAGACAATCCCCGGTGTCCTTGCTTCCTGTCCCCTCTGGCCCAGCCCAGCGCCCCAGGAGCAAAGACGCCACCCTCTCCTCTCCACAGCTCTCAGGCTCCAGGGCCACACTTGGGTGTCTCCAGGGAGGAGGAGGCAGCAAGGCCAGGGTGTTGGCATGAGGGGGCAGGAGTCTCCCCCACCTACTTCTGGCCAGATTCCTCTGGCACTGTCCCCACCTGCTCCTGGACCCTGTGGGGGAAGTTGGTTCTGCCTCTCTGGGGAAGGCTGCCCTGTCCTCCTGGACTTGACTCTGGCTCACTCCAGACTTGGACAAGCCCAGCCTCACTGGATCCCCTGCTCTCAGGCCCCACAAGGAACAGCTGTGCGGGAAGTGGCTGTTTCAGCCACTAATGGGACAGACCCATGGGGCTCCCACCCAGGCCTTGGCCCCTCCAGACCCCACCTCATCAGAGTTGAGGCTTCAGTTGGAGCCTCAATCTCACCACACTTTCTTGAACTCTTACTTTTGCTAGGTGTTGCCCACACGGTGACACACTGTGCTGGGTAACCAAGTGTGTCCGAGGCCTGGGTGATTCTTGGAATTCTCTAGAATTCAGCAGAGCCCCTGGCTTGCTAAGAGATTGTGACAGGGCAAACCCTCCCCCACCTCCTCCTCTGGAGCCCTTCCCTAGCCAGCAGGCCAGGCAAGGCAGCAGAGGCTGGCAGTGGCTATGGTCCTCGCCTGGTGTCAGGCTGGCCTGATGTCCAACTCTGCCACTTGCTGGCATTTAGACCTTGGAGTTCCACCTTAGCCCTGCACCTGTTTTCTTTCCTGTGAACTGGGGATGGCGGCGGCTACTTCGTAAGATTGTTGGGAAGTTTGAATGGGAGGCACTGAGCACATGCCTTTACTATGACCTGAGCTCCTTGGGACTGGCCTAGGATCTACCCACCCAACTCCTGGCCTCCTTCAGGCAAAGGGGAGGAGGGAAACTAGTGAGTGTCCCCAGAGTCACTGTGCCTAAAGGCAGGGCGGCACCAGGTCCGGTGCCCTTGGCCCTCTACTGGACCAGCCTCCCCGGGTTCCTCATCTTTCCTCGGGACCTACCACCCACTCCCCCTGGGGGAAGCTGGGGCTCATAGATGGGCAGAGAATGTTGGTTTTTTCCATCTCACTTTCCTGTAACTTGATTCCCCTGAGATGTTTTTTCCTTTTGTTGTTAAAATGAATTGGGGTGAGCTTCCCCTGGCAGGGGGCCCCTGGGCAAGATCTGGAACTTCTGAGGAAGGCCAGCAGCCAAATACAGGGCAGTCTGAGCCCCAGCCCCTGAACCCCGCCCTCCCTGGACATCTTCCATTCCTGAGGTCGCACGCAGTTCAGCGTCGGGGGTCTGCCCTTTGCCAATACAGAGCAGGAAGAGGAGCTGTGGTGGCATCAGCTTCAGTTGTTATGTAGGAGGGGGCTTCAAAAACTAGGCGGACAAATGGAATTGAAAGATATGAATTTTCCATGTAGTTTTGGGAGCCCCTTGTCTGAGTGTATGTAACTCTACCCAGAGCCTGTGACCCAGAGTGGCAACAGTGGGTGCAGACCAAACGCTGTGCGTTCTCACCTCTTCTCCCTGATCACTGCTGGCACCCAGGTCCCTTGACAGCCAAGTGTCTGTCACTGAGCCCTCCCTGTGCCCAGGGACTAACTGGGTGCCACTGGATGGCAGCAGATGGCAAGGGGCCTTTCTGTCATCAGCGGCAAGGTTAGGATTCAGAAGTCAGACCAGCAATTAGAAAGATCAGCTCTTTACTGCAAAATCATTCCAAAATCATTGTTCCTTTAATAGACAGAAAAGCACTTCTCAGGGCCAGAGCCCCACTCCTCAGAAACAGCTTATTGCCTACAATCCCATTTTTAAAACAGTGTGGGCACCACTGAGGCGCACATCAGCTTTCCACTGGAGGCGAGGGGGAGGGGGAGGAGTCAGCTCATCTGACAGCGTCAGAAGCTCTTGGGCGGGGGGGGGGGGGGGGCGTTCTGCTGCTCATACTCCAGAAGTGGGGGTGGGAGTGGGAGGCTTCACTTCTGCTGCCTCCTGGAATGTAGCCCCAGACCCAAGGCCCACCCCAGGCCAGGGCCTTGCCCACGCAGGGACCTGGAGCAGCGATGGCTCTGATCAGGGTGTGGAGGGGACAGGACTGATTTCCTGGGGAGGCATGGGCACATACCACTGGGGAGGGAGCGGAGAAGCTGCGGCAGCCCCTGCACTGCCTCCTCTGCTCCGCTCACACTCACCCAGCTCCGGGATTGGCGGGTGACTCAGCAGCTGAACCTCCTGACGGGGGCAGGCAGAGCTCACCCGGGGCCTCCGGGGCTGAGGGACCTGCCCAGGCCAGGACAGGCGGGGAAGGCAGCAGAGGGACCACATGCACACTTCCCCCACACCGCAAGGGTCTGAACATCAGTTTGAAAACAATCCCAGGCTCCCAGCCCCACCCCAACACCCCCTCACAGGGCGTTTGTTCCCCAGGGGCATCGTCCAGCTCTGGCAGTGTGTGAATCCATGGCTCTGTGAGACGAGGCTGAGGCTGCCCCCACACATCACACAGGGGGAGGATGAGGCTACTTCTCTACCGTGTCAGGCCTGCCCCAGCAAGGGTCAGGCAGGCAGGGGGGTGGCCTGAGATCCCGCCTGAGGTAGCGCACTGCCGTGTAGGAGTGAGAAGGCCTAGGGACGGGGTGGGCAGGGTGATACCCTTCTCTGAATCAAGGAGGGCCAAAGTGCTGCCAGTGCTGGTTTTGAGTCGTTTTCCCTTCCTGCGCAGAGGCCAAATCCCCGGGTTAGAGAAGATCCAGGGGGACTGGACACAAAGGAGGGGCTGGGTTTTTCAGGCGACAAGCCAAGGGGCAGGGAGAGGAAGGAGGCGGTCATCAGGGCTGCCTGTTCTGCAAGGCAGGAGTTTGGCACAAGGACCCAAGCTGCTGGCTGAACACAGGCGAGGGTGAAGGCAAAGCACCCAGTGCAGCCAACAGGCACTGCCTGGCAGTGGCCTCCTGCCAGCCCCCAGCCCGCCTTCAGGCCAGGCCTAAGCGGCCCTGGCACGTTTGCTCAGGGTAAGCATGCCTGCATTTCTTGGATGACTTGTGTAGGGTCAAGAATAAAAAAATATTTTCTGTTGAAATATGAAGGGGAAAAAGCCACCTTACAAAACTAGACCTTTTAATCAGGAATGTGGCATGAAAACGTCCCCCAGTGTGTGCACAGCCCTGCTGGAGGTGCTGGGACCTGGGCAAGCCAGGGCCTGGTGAATGAAGGCCCGTCCTCCCTGGGCATGGGCGTCTGCTGCGTCCCTGCCTCTTGGAGCAGAGAGGTGGTGGGAAGCCACGGGCATCACGGGGGCTTCCTGACAAGGGCAGGCAGCTGGGACACCGGTGAGACCCAGAGGGCTGGTGGCAAACCCGGCGGGGATGGTGGGGCTGCACCCTGCCTCCAGCCTCTAGGGCTGCTCATCAGGACAGGGTCAGGCGAGGGCGCTCTGCTCCTGGTACTTGCGCCGGCGGGCACAGCGGGGGCAGCCCTTCTTCACCACGTCCTGGCAGCTCTGGTGGAAGACGGTCTTGCACTCGGTACACCTAGGGAGAGAGCAGCCGGCTCTGCGTGTGCTGGTCGGGCCGGAGACTCCCTGGCCGAGGCTGTGCCCTACTGCACAGCACACCTGTGCAAATGCACAGCTCTGCTCATCCTGGCGCCGAAGCGTCTTCAGACAACGCTCACCCCCAAGCGTACGACACGCAACAGGATTCTCTGTCCTTTCAGCTTCTATAAATGCTGCTTGGGCTTCACCCCGAGTACTCCACATCTGAAAGGCCCATTCAGGGCTGAACCCTAGCCAGGAGCTACCCCCTGAGAATTAAAGCTCCCATTCTCAGTCTCCGGCAACCATGTGGGCTGAAGGCAGGTTCGAGAGGCCTCTACTAGCAATCACTACAGCAGCCCAGTGGCAGGCACCACCCACCTGGTACCCGCTTTGGCCAGGCCTTGAGCCGTCGCTCTAGGGTGGTCACTCCTCCAACTGTGCAAGCCATTTGGAGACGAGGCCCAGTGAGGCCAGCTCAGAGAGCCCACAGCCACCCGGGCCACCGATGTGGCCACAGCAGCAGAGTCCTGTGAGTCCAGGGTGTGGGCTGCTCTAGGCGACCTTGCCAGCCCTGGTCACCAGCACAGGGTGGGCACTCAGTGTGGGTGTGGGGCAAGGCGGGGTTGGGAGGCAGCTGTCTGGCTGTCCCGCATACCTGACTGTGGTGTCAAACTCAAAGGGGAAGATGATGTCGTGGTGGTGGCAGATCTGGCAGATGAAGCCGCGCTGGGTGCACAGGTCGCAGTGGTAGACGTGCTGGGAGGCGAACTCGATCAGCGCCTGGAGGAACCCTTCATACCCGCCCTCTGCGATCTGCGGGGCGGGCGAACTCCATCAGCCCTGGAGGAACCCCTCACACCCGCCCTCTGAGACCTGCGGGGCAGGCAAACTCGATCAGCCCTGGAGGAACCCCTCATACCCGCCCCTGCGATCTGCGGGGCGAACTCGATCAGCCCTGGAGGAACCCCTCATACCCGCCCTCTGCGATCTGCGGGGCGAACTCAATCAGCCCTGGAGGAACCCCTCATACCCGCCCCTGCGATCTGCGGGGCGAACTCCATCAGCCCTGGAGGAACCCCTCATACCCGCCCCTGCGATCTGCGGGGCGAGCTCCATCAGCCCTGGAGGAACCCCTCATACCCGCCCCTGCGATCTGCGGGGCGAGCTCCATCAGCCCTGGAGGAACCCCTCATACCCGCCCCTGCGATCTGCGGGGCGAGCTCCATCAGCCCTGGAGGAACCCCTCACACCCGCCCTCTGAGATCTGCGGGGCAAGCTCCATCAGCCCTGGAGGAACCCCTCACACCCGCCCCTGCGATCTGCGGGGCGAGCTCCATCAGCCCTGGAGGAACCCTTCACGCCTGCCCTCTGCGATCTGGCGAGCTCGATCAGCCCTGGAGGAACCCTTCCTACCCGCCCTCTGCGATCTGCGGGGGGCGAGTGCAGCCCAGGCCTTGGAGGCAACCGTGCCGAGTCCCCACGTGGCAGGAGCGTCCCGGGCCAGCGCCCAGGCCCCTGGGGTTACGGGACTTCCCTACAAGGCCCACATCCACTTCCCTCCTTTAAGGAAGAGCGCGCAGCTCCTCGCTTGTGACTCGGCATTTGCTGGTGTCCCTGCTTATTCTAGGGGGGCTGGGGGCTCAGTACCAGCAAGTCCTGGGGTACGGAGGGGCTGCAGACGGCTGCAGGCACCCCCTCTCCCATCTCCACTTCCAGCCCTGCACAGAGATCTCAGGGAGCGTGGCTTCCTTACCTGCTGGAGGTCAGCGACACTGAACTTGTGAGGAGACTCTAAGAGGTAATTCCTGTGGCTGAGTCTTTGAAATACAAACAAACAAACAAACCATGAGTTTCCTTAGAAGGGCTTCCAAGCACTGGGAAAACCTGTGCTGTTTGTTTTCATTCTCTCAGCACCTCTAACCAGGCGTAAATACCTCCTGCCTGGGCAGGGCAGTGGCCAAGGGCACAAAGTGGCCTGCCTGGGCTTGGGACCTGGTCTTCCAGGTAACCAACCCGCTGGTGGGACCCTGGGCAGTTACTTAACCTCTCTGAACTTTAGGTTTCCTCCCCTGACAAAAGGAGTTGTTCTGAGGATTAAATACTTTGAAGCACTTGGTACGGCGCCCAGCACACAGTAAACACATCGCTGACAACAATGAGGAGGAGGAAAGTGAACCCTAGGTGCCAGGAACTGGACTAAAGGTTTCCTAGTATCCATTCATTTAACCGCCACCATAAACCTGTGAGGCCAGTCCTAACTTCATCCCTGACCTGAGAAGCAAAGGAAACACAGAGAAGCTAAACAACCTGCCTGAAGTCACGTAGCTGGAAAGACAGAGCTGAGTGTGAACGCACGAGTCTGGCCTCATAGCCCGCGTCCTTACCCACCTCTCTGAACCCCTGTGGATGCTGGCTGTTGCAATTATCGCCACCACTACATAGCAGGAACAGTGCTGGGAACAGAAAGTGCAGACACGGCTGCTGGCCTCCTGCAGCCGCCGGTCCAGCCAAGGGACAAGCACTCAAGTATCTGGTTTTGTTGCTACAGAAGAACTGGGCCCTAAGCACAACAGAATGGGGAGAACGAGGGCTCTGCTGTTTCTGCCGCGTGGATGGCAGGGATCCCATGAGTCATGTCCCTGGGGCTGCAGAGGAAACACCTGCATGAAGTCCCCTGCCACCACACCATGCTTGGCCAAGCTTGTGTGTGTGTGTGTGCGTGTTTATGGAATGCGGACGGCAGGAGGGATCAGAGCCAGGGACACTGAAGCTTGGGGACCTGTCCCAGCATATCCCAGACATCTAGGGGCAGGATGGGGCTGGGCCTTTAGGGTTTGAGCTGAGGGATAGCTGGAATGTGGGCTTGACCATGCCTGACTCAATGGCCTTACTTGTGGTCCAGGGGGAGCCCAAGCTGGGGTGGAGATGATGAATCCCACCAAGCAGCTCGGCAGGCCACTCTGTACTTTGTGGGTTGAGCACGTTGCTGACTGGCAACTCAGTTTACCATGCTGGTTACCCCAGGAAACTTGCAGCTTTATGAGAACAGGAAGCTGTCATTTCTCACCAGGAAAACATGCTGGGGGCGGGGAGAGGTTGGCAGCACGCAGGCTGGCCCCGAGCTGGCAGGAAGGGCGGGGCTCACCTGGATGGAGTCCTGGCTGTTTTCTGCCCTCTAGGCGCAGGGGTGAAGCCCGTGAGCTAGGCCAGGGCCTTCCCCATAAGTCATTGTTCCCTGCACCCATTACACCCAAGGCAAGGCCTTGTAACTGGTTTCTCTGTAATACTCAGTTAAAGCAGAAGGGAGAGGGACCTTATCCTGGCCCACAGGAGAATGCATGAGCCCTGGGGCCTCAGTTTCTCCATTCACCAAAGGAGAAGACGTCTGTCCTGTCTGGGGAGGGACCAGAGGAACCTTGGGGCTTTTTGGGAGCCAGTGGAAGGCAGAGGAGGAGGCTGCATCTTAAGTCTCGTCACAGACACCAATGGGGTGGGCCAGGCCAGGGCCGGGAGATAGGTGAGATGTGTGTTGGTGGGCGGCAGAGTGCTACCCGTCTTCTCCTCTCCCCAGCCATCAGCAGCAGTACCCCAGGCCTGGCGGGGACATGGCCGTGGGCAGCGCTGTGTGGTCCTTCCTAAGGCTGGAGGCCTCTCTTGAAGACCCAGCCAGGCTGCTGGCACTTGCAGAGGTCTCCTCTGCAACCTCATCCCTACCCCATGACCTGCCCACGTGTCCTCCCCCCTCTTCCTCTCGGGACCTGCCCTGGGGCGTGGCTTCCCCAGCACCTGGGTTAATGCTCCACCAGCTGCCTGGCTGGTGCTCTGCCCACCACGGCTACGGGAGAGGCCTTTTCTAAGCTGCTACTCAAACCGCGCCAGTTTCATGCTCAGAACCTTCAACAGCGCCTCCCTGGAGCCAGATGAACTTTAGGAGTCTTCAGTATGGCAGATAAGAGTTCCAAGGCCTGGCTGTTGTACCCGGAGCCAGCAGCCCGGAGCCTCTCGGGTCACTTCCCACCACGGGTCCCTTAGCCAGGAAAATCAGCCTCCCCATGCCCCTTCTTCTCTAGTTGTCTTCCTAAACCTCAGTCTAATACATGAGGGCATCGCGAAAAGTTTGTGACAAATGGGGGGCTGGTTCCTGTCCCAGCTGCTCCACTTCCAATCCAGCTCCCTGCTAATGGCCAGAGAAAAGCAATGGAAGATGGCTCAAGCGCTTGGTCCCCCGCACCCACGTGGGAAACGTGGAAGAAGTTCCTGGCTTCGGCCTGGCCTAGCAGCCATTTGGGGAGTGAACCAACAGATGGAAGATCTAACTCTGACTTTCAAAATAAACAAATAAATCTTAAACAAAATTCTGTTACACTAAAAGAAAATTATTTTTGAAATTGTGAAGTCCCTCATGTAGGGGATACTACTGGTATGGGACAACTGTTTCCATGTGTTGTGTCCACAGAGGGAAATTTCCTTTATAAATTCCCCTTTGTATAGAAGAAAGGTGCTAAAGAAAACGCTGCCAACCCTCAGCTCAGCAGCCAGCTCCCCTGGGAGCTCCACTGGCTCACAGAGCCCCGGCCTCTGAGATTTGGAGCAGCTCCCAGGCCCTTCAGGGCACACAGCTGACCCTGGGTCCTCTGCCCATCTGTGGCCATCTGTGGGCCCCTCAGGCAGCTCTCACCGCCACCCTGGAAGGTCAGGAAAGCACAGGGAACACTGGCCCATGTTACAGATGGGGAACAAGCAAAGCAACTTCCTTGTTCTCACAGCAGGTCTCTGCTGGGCAGGGCTGCTCCCGTATTCTTTCCCCTGCCCTGTGCTGCCTCTGCTGTGGGACCTCCAGGCGTGGGGGTTCTCTCGCAGGCCGGACGTACAGTGCTATACACTGCCGCTGCCCACAGACGGCACAGCAGCGCCTGGCAGGAGATGGGCTGCCACAGGTGCCCAGCACAGGCTGCCAGTGAGGCTACTGGAGAAGCCACCTCAGCAGGGTGGGCAGCAGGAGTGCGGCCAACACCCGGAACCCCCCGGAGGCTTCTGGTCTTTGCAGGTGCCAGGGAGAGTGTGAGGCTCCAGGGGATCCCAGAAATGGCACTGCCCTGGACAGGAGCAGGAGGGCAGGTTTCTGGAGCCCTGGCTTGGGAATCTCAGAGAACGGGAAGGAGTCAGGAGACCGAGTCCCAGCTAATGATCAGCTGGCAGAGCCTCTCAGGGGCCCAGAGGGTTTCTGATCTCCCAGCCCTGCAGAGGAGACAGGGCTCAGGTGGCAGCCCTGTGGGGCTGTGAGGACCCAGTCTCCCCCTTTGCCTAGCAGAAGCTCCCTGTAGCACCACCCCCCTTCCTGGAGAGCCACAGGGAAACTGCCAGGCACACCCTGGCTCTAGGAGTAGCACAGAGGGGCTCTGGGAGAACTGAGCTAATATGGAGAAGATGTAAAAAAAAAAAGTCAGGTGCTCTCTGTGCCAGCCATCGGGGAAGGGGAGGTCAGAGGAAGGAACCTGGAGGGGCTTGTAAGTTACTCTAAGTCCCCAAAAACCCACGCGGGGCAGCAGGCACCAGCTTCTCCCCCGAGGGCCCCAGGACAGCACAGCCTCTCAGAAGGCTGCAGCCTGGCCTGTGACCCATGAGCTAAGAGAGCGTCGAGGTCCACGCTGAGGCTAACGTCACCTCCCATCCCTGAGCACCCAGGCCTGGGTACAGAGCAGCTTCCTGAAGGGCACTGTGAGGGTCCTGTCCAATCTCGCAAGTGTCGGAGACTCTCGGGAGGGAGGCCGTGTGGACAGGAAGCAGCGGGGTCAGAGGACTGGCCAGGCAGGGAGAAGACAGGAACGCAGGCCTCATCGTCTGGCCTAGCATGCCTCTCGCCGCACTGCCCACTGCCCGCCGGCCCGAGGCCTCCCTGTTCTTTGTGTGCAGGACGCCTTCCTTCATGGCCTGCACGCGCCGTTCCTTCTGTCTGAACACTCTTCCCCCTCCTTCCCCTTTCTGACTCCTACTTACTTATCAGGACTCACCTTCGGAGTCACTTTCTGGAGACGTGGTCCCCAGTTCGCCCTCCTCTAACGTGTGGGAGATGTCCTGCCTCTCTCCAGCCCTCACTTCCCGGATGGAGTTGTTGGCTTACTCACGATCTTTCCTGTCAGACTGGAAGCTTCCAAGAGGGTAGGACCCTGTCTGCCTTGTTCAGTGCTGTATCCCACACACCTGCTCCATTCCTGCACTTAGTACGTTCTCAATAAATGTTTGAATGAGTGAACACAAGAAGGAAAAGCACCCCCAAAGGCTGCAGCAATTTCTCAAGCCCAGCGGGAAGACCTCTGCCCCGGCCCTGGCGGTTCCCACAGGCGCGCAGGCTGCCCAGGGGCAGGCCCTGTGCGAGTGCACGCGTGGGGAGCAGGTTCGCACCTCTTGCTCAGCTCCTTCAGGGCGCCGCTCCGGCACAGGCCCAGGTAATCCCCTAGAAGCTTCAGCTGCTCCCGGCTCCTGCCGATGAGGTGCATCCGCTCCACATGCTCGTACAGCGAGGCATTCACCAGCTGCAGGTTGATGAGGGGCTGGGCCCGGATCTGCATCAGGAACTTCAGGGCCTGCCGGCAGACCTGCGAGCATCACCGGGGTCAGGGTGGAAAAGGAGAGCATTTGGAGCTGGCACTGTGGTGTAGCAGGTAAGCCATGGTCTGCACTGCTGGCATCCCATATGCGTGCTGGTTCATGTCCCTGCTAAAGGTCTGGGAAAGTTGCAGAAGATGGCCCAAGTGCTTAGGCCCTTGCCACCCATGTGGGAGACCTGGAAGAAGCTCCTGGCTTTGGAGTGGCCCAGACCTGGCTGTTGCAGCCATTTGAGGAATGAATCAGCAGACTGAAGATCTCTGTCTCTTTCTCTTTCTCTGTAACTCTTGACTTTCAAAAAAAAAGGACAACAGCCGCCATCCGGCAAGACTTCTGGGCCAGGCGCTGCACTGCCTCCTCACTCACTTGCCATGCAGCCCCTCTCCGAAGGGAGAATCTGCAGATTTAGAGAGATGAACGGACTTGACCCGGTCACACAGCTCATAAATGGTGCAGTCAAGATTTGGATGTGGTTTATGCGACTTCCAAACCCACACTCCCTGGATGGCGCCACTGAGGGCGCCTCCTGCCCAGGCTCAGAGGGAAGGGGCTAACATGGTTAACAATCCTTTCCCGCTGGAATTCACAGACCCTTCAACTCTTTCCTGTTCTCCTGGCCCCCACGTTCTGGCCTGCAGGAAACAGGCCGCCCCTCCGGGTCCTGACTCAGGAACCAGATGACTGGTCTGCAGCCGGCTCCTGCCGCAGGAAGCCACAGAGCGATGGAGCTTAGCAAGTCTCCTCGAGCTCCCTCAGCTCCCATCAGCGCCGCAACCAGCGCTCCCCAGGTCTCTGTGTGGAACTGAGTGGTCAACTCCAGCTTCGCCTAGCAGACAGGGTGCTGAGGGTGCTGTCCTTGGCCCTGATCCCAGTGCCAGTGCCAGTAACTGAGCAGCTACTGATGCCAGACACGAAGCTAGGGACCCTGCCAACTTCTCCCCTCACCCTCACAGCCACTCTTGGTGGACAGAGTGAGAAGAGGGGATGAGGAGAAGGAGTCGGAGAAGAGAAGCAAAGTGGCTTAAGCAACCCACCTTTCTGCATAGCAGAGCCCAGGTCTGAGCTGCGCTGCTACGGGAGACACCGTGCCCCAGCTAACCAGTGAGGCCCTCTCCTGTGCTGGCCTCGCTGCGTGATAGGTGCATGCAGCAGCGGAGCCGGATTCGGACCTGGATCGAATCCTGTCTCACCACTTCCTCCCCGATGACCTTGTGAAACCTAACACTCTGCAACTGTTTCCTCAACTGTAAAATGGGGAAAATAAAAGCGCATATCTCACGGGATGATTCTGAATTTAGATTAAAAGCGACAATCTGTGTGTGCTATTGGCAAAGGACCTGCACACTATGTGAGTACCTGCTGTGGCCCAGGTGTGCCCTGAGGTCACAGGACATACTGGACCCCCAGCAGACCTGGGCCTGTAGCCAGGGCCTGCAGAGGTCTCTGGCCCCTGTCTCCCAGCTCTTATCTCCCCCAGCAAAGGACAGCCCCTTCTTTTCTGATATTCTAGAGCCCTAGGGTGCCAGCATCCCAGCCTGGGGGCAGCCCAGCAGCAACGCCCCTGCTGACTTACGTCAAATCGTTGTCCTCCAGCTCTGGCCCAGATCTGCCTAACTCAGCCTTGGGCCTGGGTGAGGCTCAGATGAGAAGACACAGGAGCAAGCATGCACTGACAGCTGCCCTGGGCTCCCAGGGCCTGCTCTTATCCTGTGGGCATGGAGGACACAGACAAAGAAGAAGCCCAGTCCTGCACTGACATCCTACCAAGTGCCAGCTGGGCCTTGGCACAAGCAGGCCAGCCACTCTCAATTTCTTGGGTCAGCGACCTAGAGAGGAAGCTGGGTACTTCCAGCTCTCAGGCCAAGACAAAGATTGTCATTTTCTAGCTGAAAAGAGGAAGTGGCACACGGATTACAATGATGACTAAGGAGAGGTTCCCAGCACAATCAGGATCCTAGAGAGAACAGTTTTATGGGCAAGGGGTTCTCTGCATTTTTGACAATTCTGAGGTTTAATTTTCTCTATTTGAGGACAAGATATACAACAACAAAGCCCAAGCCGAAGAAGTCAAATTCTTCAGGGGGCAGGTTTATGGAGGTGGAGGTTGGGTGGGATCCCCTGATGAGGACACACCCTCCCAGAAGCCTGTGCAGGTAGCCATGGGTCTCGAGAGAAGCAATTAGTTTTTCCCTTGTGTTTCTAAATTGTCTCACTGGGTAGAAACCTGTGCTGTTGCCAGGAAGCCAAGTGTGACCCTTGAGGCAGAGCGTGACCACGTGAATAAGGTGCAGGAGGTCTGCAAAGCCGAGGGAGGGGCGGCAGGGCACGCTGGAAGGTGCTGCTCTAAGTGACAAGGATGTGCTGCCCCAGCCATCCTCACCACCAGCCAACGCAGACCCTGTGACTGACCCCATTCCAGACAGGGCACTGAAGTCAGTCTGCGTGGTAAGGGGAGCAAGCTCACCTGGAGAAGAGAATGGAAGACCTTAGAATATGTCTTATTCCAAAGTGTATGGTGAACATAGAGGTACCACGACAAAGTAGTAAGTGAGCAGGTATGTTATAAAAGCACAGTGAGTCCAGTATGATCCCAACTTTGTAATAAGTAAATGCCTTTAGGACTAAAGGCACAGAAAAGGACAGCCTCAAAATGTTAACAGTGATTATCTTTGGAAGATGACACATAATTTTGATGTATTCTTGGTTTTTCTGTAATGTTTAAATGTTAAACAATAGCCATATATTATCTTCAAATCAGGGGAGTCCCAGTAAAAGTGCTCTTTCAGAAACACGAACTTAGGGGCTGGTGCTGTGGTGTAGTGGGTAAAGCCACTGCCTGCAGAGCCAGCATCCCAAATGGGCACTGGTTCAAGTCCCAGCTGCTCCACTTCCAATCCAGCTCTCTGCTATGGCCTGGGAAAGCAGTAGAAGATGGCCCAAGTTCTTGGGCCCCTGCACTCGTGTGGGAGACCCAGAAGCAGCTCTTGTCTCCTGGCTTCATGGGGAGTGAACCAGTGGATGGAAGACCTCTCTCTTTCTCTTTCTCTCTCTCTGCCTCTCCTTCTCTCTCTTGTGTAACTCTGACTTTCAAATAAATAAATAAATCTTAAAAAATGCAAAAACAAAAACATGAACTTAGTAAGTCCATGCAGTCACCAGGGCCAGCAAAGGCAAGGCTAACTGCTCTCAGCGTTATAGCCCACCTGCCTACCAACCACCAGGCATCTACCCATCCACGTATCAATCCTGTCTGTTTATCAGCTTTGTCTGTAACCTTGGGAGCTGCAGAGAACAATCCTCAGACGCCAACTTGAGGACCAAGGCAGGGGTTGACAGGGCTCTGCCCAGGGGCTGTGGACAGGCACCAAGCTTTTCTTTGGTGAATGCCCCTGTATCACAGGGCTTGAAACACCCCTCACTTCCCTGCAGCCAAATTCCTCCAAACAGGCAAACAGCTAAACAGCAGCAGCAAAGAGAAGGGAGCATTCCCCCATCACTCAGCGACCTGTGCGGCCAGCATGCGCTGGGCCCAAGACTTACCGGGCGCTTGGTGAGGTCCCAGTTGTGGATGATCCTGGCCGGGATCACTGAGGCGTCATCTTGGTGGCAGATGTCACAGTAATAGAGGCCAGAGAAGGCACAGAGCTTGGGTCGTACAAAGGAGAAGCCGATCTGTCTGGAGCAGCCTAGGGAGATAGGTGGTGGGTGAGTAGAATGACGCGGGAGCTACGGTGGCCTGTTAGGGTTTTTTGTTTTAAATTTATTTGAAAGCCAGAGCATCAGAGAGAGGGAGATACAAAGAGACAAAGATCTTCAATCTGCTGGTTCGCTGTCCAAATGGCCATAATAGCCAAGGTTGGGCCAGTCTGAAGCCCAGAGCCAGAAATCTGATATGGGATGCTTGTGTCACAAATGACAGTTTAACCTGTGGTACCACAAAACCAGCCCTAGTTTTTAAAAGGAAAGTATGATAAAAAATAACCACCACGCAGGGCCAAATGGGAGTACTAACTCGAGTTCCAGCAACTCTGCTTCCCAACTAGCTTCCTGCTAATACTCCTGGGAAGGCAGAGGATGATGGCTCAAGTACTTGGGCTCCTGCCACCCATGTGGGAGACCTGAATGGCTTTGGCCCAGCCCTGGCTGCTGCAGACATTTAGGGGACTGGACTAGAGGATGGAAGAGCACATTCTCTACTCTTTTAAATAAATAAACCTTCGCATAATAACTACCACTCAGATTTCCACCACCCAGAATCAACCCTATTAATGGACTGCCAACAACTCCGTCTTTCACAGCTACAGAAACTGATGCTGAGACATCTGCCTGGCCACACAGTGATTAAGTGGCAGGGCTCACATTCAGATCCGGGGTATGAAGCTCACGTTCTCGTCCACAGTCCCTAGCTGCTGCATTTGTCCTTGGTCTCTGCTGCTTGCTCAGCAACACCAACCTCCAGTCCACTGCTCCACCAGGGCCCAGAAATGGAGGCCACTAAGTTGGGGCCTGGACAAGCAGTGAGAGTAGGGAAGATGAGGCCAGGCACAGGGAGTGGATGGGAAGCCAGCAGGAGGCAGGGCAACCTGCACCTTGCCTGGCACAGGCTTGGATCTGGAGCTGCCTGATCTCATAGAGCAGCTGGGGCAGTGAGAGTGAGAACAGGGTGTGCCCAGGGCAAAAAGTGAAGGCCCAGTACAAATCTAGGGTTCATCCTTGCCTGCACAGGGACAGGACCAGAGGTCAGCTCTTCCGTTTATCAGCTGCCTCATCCTGACCTTCACCTAATTGGTCCAGATCCCATTATCACGTCTGTAAAATTCAGCCCCTACTAGCTATTATGTGGCACTACTACAAAGTGTAAGCCAGACCAGGTTCTGAGAATGCCCTGCAAACCACAAAGCACAACCCACATGTCAGTGTAGGTGTCTGCCTGGCCCGAGCCTTGCACATGGGGTGGAAGGCAAGCCTTCACTCCATAGCTTCATGGTCCGGCTGGCAGGTGGCTGTTCCTGTAGCAGTCACACTCTCAGTGGGGAACTTGGTCCCACGCCCTGGACTCCTGCCCCCACAACTGAAGAGCAGAGTGAGTGCGGGGCTGGGCGAGCACTGAGCAGCTGCTTGCAGATGTCTTCTGCAGGAAGCTCTGCGCAGCCCAGCTCTCCCATCCTCCACAGACCACTTCCTTTCAGACACGTAGGTAGGCTTTCCCTCTGCCCTCAAGGCTGCTCCCCACCAGGTCGGCTTGGAAACCTGGGCTCCGCTTCTTGCTCTGGCTTTGAGCAGGGCCCCATGCTGACGGAGCAGGCATCTCCCTGTGGACAGGGCGAGTGGGAAAAGCTAACAATGAAATGTTGGCAGTGGGACATCACGTGGCGTGAACAATGCGAATGTGGTGTCCTGCCCACAGCGCAGGCTCTGGGCCTGATGAGCAAGGTCCTAATTCTGCTTCTGCTACCTCGTGGCAGTGTAAGCCTGAGACAAGGCACCTAACTTCCCAGCTCTGAGCTGTTTCCTCATCTACACACAGAGACAACAGTGGCACCCATTTCTACAGGGTTGTGGTGAGAATTGAATAAGGGCCAAATAGAACATCTGGCCCGGTGCCCTGCACAGAAGTATTGGATGTGATGATGTAGTGATGCAGCAGACACACTGACGTGGAATGCCACCTATCACGTGCTATTAAGGAGGAGAGAGCCACAATGGGGAGCAGTATGTAGAACTATGCTGCCTGAGACGGTGGCCGTGGGCAGCATGTGTCCCTAGCACATTACCACGTGCAGCTCATAGCTACCACAGTGGAAAGCATGGGCCTATAACACTCTCATCACCACAGAAACTTCTACGGGACAGCACCAAGGACAAGCAGCATGAGCCCACTTGTGTAATTTTAAAAATTATATCCACCTGAGAAAGGAAGAAGAGCTATTCAGAAAGATCCCATGTCCCTGCTTCCAAGGAATACAACAATGTAGTAATAAGATACTGCAGGGTGGGGGACAGGTCCCACCCATCATCAGGAGGTGGTGGAGAGAGAAGGCATGGGGCTGCCCAGGGGCAAGGTGCAGGCCCCAGGAGCAGAGGCTACAGGGCAAGTCTGCTGCACCATCCAGGGAGGGATGGAGGCACCTGTGGGGTGCCAGGAAGGGGCAGGGAGCCCAAATCTGGAACCCACAGGAGATAGGAGGAGGCTGGCAGGCTGGGGGTGGCAAGTCGGCACCTGCACAGAAGCAGCCCTGGGAGTCCAAGCCCTTCTCCGTGGGGATGGCCACCAGGTACTGCAGCAGGAAGCCATTCTCCCGCGTGGCAAACTTCAGCACCTCCTGGCAGTTTTCGTCCAGACTCCCGCCAAGTGTCACTGCCTCCTCAGCCGTCTCCAAGTAAGACGCCAGGACCTTGCGCACCAGGTCCCTCCACAGGGCGGCCTCCTCGGCGTTCCCAGCCTGCAGCTTCAGGACGGCCTTGGCTGTGATGATTTTGAAGAAGGCCGGGCCCCCGAGGCTGGTGTCTGGCAGGACATCTCGAATGGTCTCCACTCCATGGCTGTCACTCAGCATCTTCTCCTCATTTCTCACACGGAAGCATTTCAGAGACTCCAAGGACAGGGAGAAAATATAGGGCACCCAGGTCCTGTCTGTGTACAGGTACAGAAGGGACTCCTTAATAGCGTCCGGCTCCGGAACCTGGGCTGACGACCAGTTGAAATGTGTGCCCTGCAGGGCTGTAGACTCTGGGAGTAGCTCTGAGTGGGAGGGGTGGCTGCCCTGGGGGGACTCAGGAGGGTCCTCAGGCTGCTCTGGGTACTGGATGTTCACCCACTCGTCCTCCTGCTGAGGCCGGACCTTCTGCAGGGCCTCCCGCACGCGGTCCAGCCAGTCCTCAGCCTCATCCTGTGAGGAGGCACGCAGGGCCAGCTTCTTGCCAGAGAAGACCAGCTCGAAGCGCCCATCGCTGTGGGCCGGCCCCACAGACTCGCAGCGCAGCAGGGAGCAGCTCTCCACGCAGGTGCGCTCCTCGTCGCTCAGGTAGAGGCGGAACTCCAGCGGGGAGAGCTCGCAGAAGAGCTCCTTCCAGATGCCCATGGCCCCCCGGCGCTCCACGGTGCCCAGCTTCATGAGGCCGCGGAATGGGTTGGACAGCCCTGGGAGCAGAAAAAAGCACTTCAGGCTGTGGTCTGTCCCTTTACTGCCCAAGGCCACCTCTGGTGTATCGTGACTGTCACCAGAATACAGTCCAGCCATGGGCATTGTCAAATGGGCTCCTGAAAGCCAAGAGTTTTGGAGTGTCTCCACCAGGTCCTCACCCTCCTCTTGACCTGGCTCCCTGTATTTCATGGCGGAGACAAAAGCATTCCAAAGATGACCTCTGCACGACCCACCACACACACACACACACACACACACCCTTCCAGCACCTGTGTCCACACTCTGCCTTCCCTCCTGTTGCCTGGGATGACCCGACTGCTGTGTGCAAGGCTGCCCCCGCCCCCGCATTCACACAGGAGTCCCCTAACGCACCAAGGACACCTCTCCCACCTGCTGCCCTTTCCTCCCTCCTCAGTGGCACCAGTTCCATCAGCACACAAACAGGCTGCTGTTTCGCCCATCTTTAAAAATACCTCTTGTCTTCACCCATGGCTCTAATTACCACCCTGCTTCTGGGTCCCCTTCGCAGCAAAACTGCTTGAGGAGCCATCGAAACTGTCTCCAGTTTCCTGGTGCCCATTCCTACTTGGATCTAGTCCAGTTGGGATCTTGCCCCACACTCCACTGAAACTGCTCCTGGGAAGCCACCAATGCCCTCCTCATTGCCAAACCCAGAGGCCACTTCTGAGGTCCCATCTTCACTCTTCTTGTCTTGCTCCTCCTCCCCCTTTCAGATTGGAGGCCCTGGCATCAGTGCCAGGCCTCTGTCTCCTCTCTGTGGATCCACTTCCTGGTTGATCTTACCTGCCCTAAGGGTTTCACGCCAACAAGCCCTACCTTTGCATCTCCAGTCTGTATCTCACTCTTGAACTTCAGATTCGTATGCACACCTGTTCCACATGGGTCTACCAGGCATCTCAGAGCTGATGTAACGTTAAGGCGAGGAATTCTCCCACTGCAAACCTGCTTCTTCCCTAATGCTCCTCCTCTGACGTATGGCGAACTTCAACCTTCAGTGCTTGGGCTAAAAACCTTAGTTACCTTGCACTTTTTCCTGTTACAGGCCACATCCAATCCGACAGCAAAGCCTAGTGGCTCTAGCTTTCAACACATATCCAGAACCCCCGCTTCTTCCCCTGACTGCACCACCACCTCTGTCGTCTCTGTCTGGGCCACCTCAGTACCTCCCTCAGCTGTCTTTCTCCTGTGTCCCTCAGCACAGGAGCCAGGGTCACCTGCTACAGGAAGTCAGGCCACGCCCCTTGGCCCAGAATGCTGCAGTGCTTGCCATCTCCTGGGAGCAAAAGCCCACGCGCCTTCCGCAGCCCGCTGACCTCCGTTCTCACCCCTCCCCCCAGCCCCTGCTCCAGCCACCCTGCTTGCCACTGGTTCCTGGACACACAAAACACATACCCAGCATGGAGTCTCAGTGCCTCCCTCTCTCCCTCCCTCCCTCCACGTCACCTTGTGTGTGAGGGCTGCCCTGGCCAGCTGACGTGCACTAGCACCGTCTCCTCCACGGCACTCCCCGAGTTAGTGTCCCCGCAGCTCCTAACACCTCCTGACCATCCTCTGCGTTGAACTTGATTCATTTCCTGTCTCCTACTAGAATGCAAGTCCCATGAGCACAGGGACAGTGCTTGGCTTCCTGCTGTGTTCGCAGCACTTCAAACAGTCCCTGGCACATCACAGATGCTCAGCGAATACTCTCTGAACGAGGGAGTACGTGCCAAACACTGCTCAATGCATCCTGCTCCCTGGGTCTGCCACCTTCCAGGGGGTCCAAGGGAGACATAATTCTCTCCTACCTGGAACAGCCTTGGTGATTCCAATGATCATGCAGATTCCCTACCCCCAGGGAACCTGATTGGTGGATAGGCAGGAAACAACCCTTCATACCTTCTGTTGTCCCATGGGTGAAACATAAAGCCAAAAGAAATAAGCAGAACCCACCCCCACCCCAGGCTTAGTAGAATCTGCCAGGTCACTGCAAACAGAAAATGAGGAGTGAAAGAGTCTGGGGCTAGGGCACACCTGGTTGTTGGTTTGGTTTGAAGAGGAAACCCATTACCAGAGCTACAGAGAAATTAGGTTATATAAGTTACTGGCACTTTCTGCAATTACCAGCTGGCCTTGCAAACAGCACAAGACGATGCTGAACAAACAGCAGCTCTGATAAACCCCAGAGGAGCTGCGGAGTAAACCGCATGAGACACAGGCCTTTGGAAGGAGCATTCAGAATACCCGGGGCTTGGAGGAGCAGCGCTAGGCGGAGCTACAGACTGAAGTGAGAGCTCTCCACCATCAGGTGTGTTTCAACAGATGTAACGGTGTTTTGTGCCTTCTAGGTAGCCGAGCGTGATTTTGTTAACGAAAAGATGCTACCTTCCCTGAAGCGCTCTTCTGAATGACCGAGCCTGCCTGCTCCTTCATCACACACCAGGGAGGTTTTTCTCCAAGGAGGCACTGCCCGTTGGTAGTGGAGACAGAACGGTAGAGCCGCTATCTGAAGGGCATGGGCCCACGCTGATTCTGCAGAGCCACCTACCCATCTGCCTCCGGTGCACCACCCGGAAGTTCCTGGGCTCCTGCACTGGGGCTGCCTTGGCTCTCCTGGCCCCTGGGGAAGGCGTGCACACTTTGTCTAGTGCCCCCAGGGAGGAGCTTTTTCTTGGTCCTTGAGAAAAATGCCTGTGGAGAGCGGCCCTGGTTTCTGGAGCCCCTCTGGAGGGCACCAGGGAGTGAGCACTCTCTACTGGTGGCTCCTGGGGAGGCCGGTAGAAGTCATCTTCTGAGATCCAGCTCTTGCCTTTCTATTGAGAAAAAAATAGAAACAGGGATAGTTTGTTAAAAGTTATAAGTTAAAATCCAATAATTTTGGTAAATTCAGAGTTGTACGAACATCACTATAATCTGAGTTTAGAACATTTTCATTACCCCCAAAAGGCATCCCAGATCACTCAGCAGTCACTCCCATTTCCCACAGGCCCCTCCACGCTAGGCGACCGCTAACCCTACTTCCTGTCTCTACAGATTTGCCCATTTGGGCCATTTCATAGAAACAGAATCGTGGAACGTGTGCTCTTTTGTGACTGGTTCTTCCCCTTCACATGATGTTTTCAAGGTCCATCCATGGTGGAAGCACATGTTCATTCCTTTCTATTGCTAAACTACATTCACCGTCTGGACGGGTCATGGCATGCTGGTCCACTCATCCATTGATGGACATTTCGGCTGCTTCCAGTTTTTGGCTGTCTTGCAACTATGACCATTCATGTGCAAGTTTGTGTGTGGCCTTATGTTTTCATTCTCCTGAGTATACTCCTAGGAGTGAAACTGCTGGAACACAAGGATCTCTGTGTTTAGCTACTCGAGGAACTCCCAAACTGCTGTCCAGAGTGGTTACTCCATCTTCCTCTCTGATGTCTGTTACAGTCTTTTAGATTATGGACATCCTGACTGGTGTGAAATGCTGGCCACTGTGGTTCTGATTTGCATTTAACTGTTGTCTAATTCATTAAGCATCTTTTCATGTGCTTATTGACCATTCATACATGCTGTTTGGGGAAAAAACATTTTTAGACTGGGCCTTTCTGTTGTATGTTATAGGCTGAACTGTGCTGCCCCAGACAGCTGGAATCCTAACCTTCAGTACCTCAGAATGATGTGACCTTATCTGGGACTAGAGCCCTTGAATGTGTAACTACCGGAGGAGACTGGCCCCTCATACAGTGTCACTGATGTCCACATCAGAAGAGCAGACGTGCAGAGGGAAGGGGCATGTGGTGACAGGAAGGGAGAACTGGGGAGAACTGAGTTTATAAGCTAAGAAACATCCAGCATTGCCAGCAACACCAGAAGCTCAAAGGAAGGTGTGGGACACAGTCTTCCTCAGACTCTCCAGAACCAACCCGGCTGGCATCTGCATCTGACTTGGAGCCGCCAGATCAGCAGCGGGGAAGTTTTTCCTGTTTGAAGCCATCCATTGGATGGTGCTTTGCTGTGCCTGTCACAGGATACTAGACAAATTATAAGGTTCTTCTTCTTTTTTTAAAAAAATTTACTTTTGAAAGGCAAAGACAGAGGGAGGGAGGGAGACACACACACCATGATGTGTCAATCTGGGTGGCTCCTGGGGACACGTACAACACTGAATTCTGCTCAGTTCTCTCTAGGTCATCAAGACCTAGGGACTCCCTGAGGAAAGCAGGTGAGCGGAGCAGCCTTCTGTCCTGGCAGCCTCACATACACCTGAGAAGCATGCGGTCTCCAGCCCCTGCCAATGGCCCTCTGGGAGAGACCGTAATCCCTCAGGATTCAGCCTGGGGTCCCCCATCACCTCCTCCATGTGTATCACCCCACCTACCCCCAAAAGCTGGGCTAAGGATCCCTACTGGGCTCCCATGACATTCTGGCTCATCCCCATCCTGGAATCTATAATGCTGTGGTCATTTTTTCTTGGTATTTCTAGCAAAAGTGGCTATCCTGAGCCGTACAAGATGAGAGCATATCCCGAATACCTGAGTATCTACAGGTTGTGTCCACCTATAATGCTGACACTCTATGTGGGCACCGGTTCATGTCTTGGCTGCTCCATTTCCAATCTGGCTCCTTGCTAATGGCCTGGGAAAAGCAACAGAAGATGGCCCAAGTATTTGGGCCCCTGCCCAATACATGGGAGACCCAGATGAAGTTCTGGATCCTGGTTTTGGCCTGGCCCAGCCCAACTGTTGTGGCCATATAGAAAGTGAACAAGCAGATGGAATATCTGTCTCTTTCTAACTCTTAATTTCAAATAACTAAAAAATTTAGATAAAAAAAAAAAAAACATGGTTGGGGAAACTGGAAGGAAAGAAGCAAAGCTGGCTGAGAAGACTGTGGATGTCCTCTGTGGGGAGGACTTCTCTCAGAGGTAACAAAGGCATTGCTCAGCCTGGTCCTCTGACCACGGAGCAGCCACAGGAAATGACACTCTAGGGAAGCCTTGGCCCCTTAACAACAGGGAAGACATTAGTCCCCTAGAATTTCCACACAGGCCTGGACAGAGCTCTGAGCCCGTGTGCTGCCCCACTGGGGGTGGGGAGGAGAAGGCGTGCACACACAAATGTGAGCACCATTGTTTCTCTTTCCTCTCCCCTCTCCCTACCACCTTCTTCAGCCTGCTTCCGCAGGGTCCCATGTCTGGCCAGCTCTTGGCCCTTTAACAAGTAGCAGGGGTGGGGAGCAGAGGGGAGGGAGTCATTCTTGAACGAGGATCCATACCTGCCACCAGGGTCCCAAGACAGAGGACTGACACCGCCAGTTACTAAAGGTATCGTGACTCTGTACACAATGGCAAGTCCTGGGCAGAAGTCTGGGGAGAGATGCTGAGTCTCTGGACCACTTTCTAAAGGGCTACATGCTTTGGCCATGCTGCCCTCATTGTACCAGGCAAGGGGGCTGTCTGTGCCCATAACTGAGGGAGAGGATCCCATGCCATATGCAGATGACCCATGGGGGCAGTTAACAGGGCCAAGTCTTAGTTACCCTCGAGAGCTCCTCCACTCCTTGTCTCTTATTTTCCCGCACTTGATGTAAGTGTAATTATGATCTGGGTCACTCTTTGTCTAACCCAGTGTTTGTCTCCAAAGGGCAGGGCTCTTGTCTGTCCTGTTCCATCACTGTGCCCCTAGCACCTAGCATGGTGCTTGGCTAGTAGTAGATGCTTTGTGTCAAATTAATCAAAAACACTTAAAAAAGAAAAGACAGACAGACTGAATGGCTCTGAGAACTATAAAGCTTGACAATTACTCCAACTCCCCCCAACTCCAATGTTAAAGAAAAGCTTGTGACCAACACAGAAAAATGAGGACCACAGGCACAGACGTGCAGGGCATAGCCTGGGATTGTTCCAATGCAGGGAGCTCACCAGGCCTATGTGAACAGGAGGCTGGTGACTGTCTACCGAGAGGGGCAATGAACAAATCCACAACTCCAGTGTGAGACAGATGCAGGCAGCACCCAAGGCTCTCCCACGGGATTCAGCCACTGAGTACTTTTATTCCATGTTTCCCTGGTGACCTAGAGATCAGACTCCCCTGAGGCTGGCCAAGAGGTGGGCCTGCCCCAGGCAGACCAACCTAACCACCTGGTCCACTTGATGGTACACTTCTCAAAGTAAACTTACAAGCTGGCCTCTCAAGAGTCTCTCGAATGTTCAAGAACTATTAATGGATGTCTACTCTCTCCCGGGCACAGTGTTCAGTGCCAACAATGCAGAAGTGAGCATGGTCCTATGTACCATGCAGTTAATCCTTGAGTGAGGAAGACAGAAAATAAACAAGGAGACAAATAAAAAGATAATATGATTGTACATGGTGATGAGTGTTTTAAACAAGCAGATCAAATGCGTATGACAGTCACTGGGGATGGTGCCTTTTAGTCATGGGGATCAGGGAGGGCTGAGTCAACAATGAGGAAGAGGAGTGAGTCAGGAAAGCATTCCAGACAGAAGAAATACGGAAGGTGAAAACCCCAGGCTGGGAGCAGCCTGCTTTGTCTAGGGAGCCACAAGGAGGTGGAAGGGCCAGGACTCAGTGAGCAGTTGATGAGTTAGCTGCCCTCTCCTGTCAGCTCTGTGGCCTTGGCAAGATAGGCTGTCTGAGTCTGCAAGGCAGATGCCAGACCCCGGGCAGGAGCGATCCCAGCACAGTCAAGGCCACTCTGTGGAGCCCTGTCAGGACACTATCCCTAAGGGGCACCACTCTGGGATCCGCAGATGCTTTCTGCAACTTGCAGTTTGGCTTGGCAGCTGCCTGGCTACAAGTTTCAGGGTCCCATGACATTGGTCTTTGTAAATCTGACCCACACTTGCACAGTGGCTTGGTTATACAGTCCATTCAATGCTGCTAGGACAGCCAGAGGCACCCTTTTGGAAAAATAAGAACTCTGATTCCTATTTCATACCATACACAAAAATTAATTCTGGATACATCATAAACCTAATTGTCAGAGGCAAATTACTAAAGTTTCTGGAAGGAAACAGAATATTATCAGGTCATTGGAATGGACAAAAATTTCTGAAATGGGACAAAAAAAAAAAAAAAAAACCAACCATGCAGACCACAAACAAAAAGATTGATCATTTGAACATCATTAAACTTAAGAATTGCTTTCAACAAAAAATGACATGTAGATACTTAAAGGCAAACCATAGGCCAGCGCCGCAGCTCAATAGGCTAATCCTCCGCCTTGTGGCGCTGGCACACCGGGTTCTAGTCCTGGTCGGGGCGCTGGATTCTGTCCCGGTTGCCCCTCTTCCAGGCCAGCTCTCTGCTGTGACCAGGGAGTGCAGTGGAGGATGGCCCAAGTACTTGGGCCCTGCACCCCATGGGAGACCAGGAGAAGCACCTGGCTCCTGCCATCAGATCAGCGCGGTGCGCTGGTCGCAGTGCGCCGGCTGCGGCGGCCATTGGAGGGTGAACCAATGGCAAAGGAAGACCTTTCTCTCTGTCTCTCTCACTGTCCACTCTGCCTGTCAAAAAATTAAAAAAAAAAAAAGGCAAACCATAGACTAGAAGAAGACATTTGCTATATACATGTCCATTTTTCTTTTTCTCTAATGAAAGATTTAATCTGGAGTGGGCATTTGGCCTAGTGGTTAAACTGTAAGTTCGGATGTCAAATCGCAGTGCCTGGGTTCAAGTCTGGACTCCACTCCCAATTCTAGCTCCCTGGGATATGCCCTGGGAGGCAGCAGGCAATGGTCTTGCCACTCATGTGGGAGACCTGGATGGAGTCCCCAGCTCCTGGCTTCAGTCTGCCCCACCCCTTGCTGTTGTGGGAATTTGGGAAGTAAACAAGTGGATGATAGCTCTCTCTGTCTGCCTCTCTCTCTGCTTCTTAAATATTATATTTAAATAAAAATAAACATATTATATAAACAGCCCCTACAAATCAATACAGAAAACATGCACAACTAATTTAAGGTGATGACTTGGCTACCTCACAAAACTAGATCAAACTGCCAGTAAGCAAATGAAAAGAGATCAGTATTTTTAGTAATTAGAGATATGCAAATTAAAGCCAAGATGAACTACCACTTCTCACCTACCAGATACCTTTAATGCTTAAAAAAAAAAAAACAAACCAGACAACCTTGGTGAGGTTATGAAGAAATACAAGTACATGGTTGCTAAGAATATAAACTAGGACAGCTGCCTTGAAAACAGTTTGGCAGTGTCATAGTTACTATATTCCAAAATTCTACTCCAAGTTATGCATCGAAGAGAATTAAAAACACATGCTCATAAAACAGTTGCACATGAATGTCCATACAAGCATTCTTTGTAAGAGCCAACAAGTGGAAATAACCCAAATGTCCACCAACTGATGATGGAATACACAACAGACTATAACTCAGCAATAAAAAGGAAGTAAGAACTGACGCAGTTGCAACATGGATGAACCTTAAAAATATCACAGTAAGCAAAGCAGCCAAGTCCCAGAACAGCACATACTGTATGACTGCAGTTGTGTCAAGTGTCCAGAACAGGTAAACCCTCATAAACAGAAAGTAGATCAGTGGCTGTCAGGAGTTGAGGAAAGTGAGGTAGAAGGAAAGATGGATGAGGAGTGACTGCTAATGGCTAAGTGCAGGGATTGAAAATATTCCATGGGGCTGGCACTGGGTAAAGTGGGTAAAGCCACCGCCTGCAGTGCCAGCATCCCATATGGGCACCAGTTCGAGTCCCGGCTGCTCCACTTCCAATCTAGCTCTCTGCTATGGCCTAGGAAAGCAGTAGAAGATGGCCCAAGTCCTTGGGCCCCTGCACCCACATGGGAGACCTAGAAGAAGTTCCCGGCTCCTGGCTTCGAATCGGCGCAGCTCCAGCCATTGTGGCCAATTGGGGAGTGAACCAGCAGATGGAAGATCTCTCTCTCTCTCTGCCTCTCCTTCTCTCTTTCTATAACTCTTTCAAATAAACAATCTTTAAAAAAAAAAAGAAAGAAAGAAAATATTCTAAAATTAGATGGAAGGTGATGGTTACACAGGCCTATGTATATACTAAAAAACACTGAATTAATTAGGTAAATTGTAGAGTATGTGAATTATATCTCAATATAGTTCTAAGAGAGGGGGCCAAGCCTCTGCAAGAATATGTCAAGGCTCTGGCCCATCCTGAGGTGTATTTTTTTTTAAAGATTGACTGATTTATTTTAAAGGTAGAGTGACAGAAAGACGGAAAGGGGGATCTTTCTTCCACTGGTTCACTCCCCAAATGGTCACAACAGCTAGGGCTGGGGCAGCTTGAGGCCAGGAGCCAGGAACTCCATCTAGGTCTCCCATGTGGGTGGCAGGAACCCGAGTACCTGAGCCATCAGCAGCTCCTTCACAGGTGCATTTGCAGGAAGCTGGGCTGGAAGCAGAGCAGCTGTGAGTCACACTGGCGCTCTGATAAGGAACGCTGGCACTGCACTGTGCCATGCCTGTCCCCCAGCCTGAGTTTTATTTAGAAGCTATTAGCCAGAGAGTACATGAGTATAGATGGAGTTTAAAGATTTTATCCTAACACGAAGCCCAGACCACAGCTGGGATAAGCTCTGACTTTTGTATGTTTGGGTGGCCCCCCTGTTGTATGTGAGCATCTGCCCTCTCCCAGCATGCCCTGGATAGGCAGCTGGGGCTTGGATTATAAAAGGAGCAGCCACACATACATATCTTTCCTACCCACACTCAATGTAAGTCAGTAACTGTCTGGGAAACCTCAAAGGCCCCAAATGCCAAAGGCGAAAAGAGCCTGAGTTCTAGCTTCTGACTTGTGCTTCCCTGGACCACTAGTTCTCAAGGCTGTCCACCTCAGTTCTCTCAAGGAGATGCCCAGGGCTGGCTCCCAATGCGTTACCAGCAAACTGGACTGGCTTATTCTAGAACAGCCCCATCCAAAAGAAATATAGTATGAACTACATATAAAATCTTACATGTTCAGGGTTAGTGCTGTTTTGCAGTGGGCTAAGCTGTTGCTTATAATACCATCATTTCATATCAGAGGGTCAGTTCTAGTCCCAGGTATTCCACTTCTAATCCAACTTCCTGCTAATGCATCCTGGAAAGCAGTGGATGATGGCTCAAGTGCTTGGGCCCTGCCACCCATCTGGGAGACCCAGATAGAGTTCCTGGTTCCTGGCCTTAGCCTGGCCCAGCCCTGGCTGTGCTGTGGCCGTTTGGGGAGTGAACCAGCAGATGGAAGATCTCTCTTTCTCCATAGATTTGCCTTTCAAATAAAGAAATAAACCTTAAATCTTATTTTTTTTTTCATGTTCTATTTAGTCACACTAAAAATGAGACAGATTGGGGCCGACGTAGTGGTATAGTGGGTTAAGCCACTGCTTGTTCCAGTCCTGGCTGCTGCACTTACTACCCAGCTCCCTGTTCATGAGCCTGGGAAACCAGAGGAAGATGACCCAAGTACTTGGGCCCCTGCACCCATGTGGAAGACCCGGAAGAAGTTCCTGGTTTCTGGCTTTGGCCTGGCCCAACCCCAGTCATTGCGGATACTTGGGATGTGAACCAGCAGATGGAAGATCTCTCTCTCTGTTTCTCCCTCTTTCTCAAGAAAACAAATCTTTAAAAACAGAAGAGACAGATGAAGCTAATTTTAGTACCCTATTTACCCCAGTACATCCAGAACTTTCATTTTAACAGGTAACCAATAAAAAATTATTACTTAAAAGTTTCACATTCTTTTTTTCGATCTAAGGTGTCAAAACCTGGTACTTGTTTTACACAGCACATCTGAGTTGGGACTGGCCACTTTTTAAGTGTTTAATAACTACATGTGGCCAGTGCCTGTGATATTGCACAGTGCAGTTCTAAAAGTTGGATCATGTAGGGAAATGAGTATTTCCAAAGCCTGGCACTTTGTAAAACTATTAACTGAATGTTAACAAATACTAAGGAGGAAACCGACATGCAAGGAATGAAATGACCAGCCCAAGGCCTTATGCTGGTGAGCGGTAGTGGTTAGAAGGTGAGCATGATCAGATGACCATGACCTTCTCCACAGCAGATGTGCATATGACAGGAGACTCGTGGGAAGTGATCAGCATGGTGTCTGGCTCATCCGCACCACTCACACACCAAGAAACACGAGCTTCATATCACACTGCTACTAACACCACCACCACAGAGAGGGAGTTCAAGGGGAAGACAGCAGAGTGCACTCGGTCTCTAACTGGGACAACCCTGCACCAGCTGAGACATTTCCCCAGGATTTCTCCTAAACAACTAGAGCCACTCACCGGACTGGTAGGAGAAGCAGCCGTCAGCTTCAGTCCAGCTCCATCATCCTCCAGAGCCTTCTGCTGGCCACTCCCTTGGCTGCCTGCTCTGGGTGTCCCTTTCACAGGACAAGCAGGATGCTTGCTTGAAGTGCTCCCTGCAGGGGCAGCCTGAGCAGTGCCCAGCTGTGGCAGGTCCAGGGTGCCAGGTGCCTGGGAAAGCGGCTCCTGCTTGTGGGCACCATCTTGGGTCTCAGAGGATGCTGCAGCAGGAGGGGGCTCCGCAGGCACATCAAAGTGCAGGTGTGCGCTGGTGGCGAGGCCGTGGAGGAAGGGCGAGGCCTGGAGTGCGGGGATCTCTGGTTCTTGGCTCGGTCCCCTGGTTGGCACAGAGTTTACCTGGGCTTTGCTGAATTCCGACAACACCCTAGAAGTTTTTCAACAAAGCAACTGGTATGACAAGTTGTCAAGAGCAATGCCCAAGGCCATGGTAAGAATGGTAAGAATGGAAAACTGCTGCTTTGTGATTAAAAAACAAACAGAAACAACACTCCTTTAACCATCCACTGTACAACCCAGCTTCCATACAGCCCTCCTCAGACACCCCTGACAAAGGCTCTTCCCAGCCAGGAATGAGGCATACTGGGTAAGCAGGTGATTTGTGGAGCCCAAGATCTTGGCAGGAAACAAGGGATCGATATGAGAGATGGGAGCTGACTGCCATTCTGAATAGGCTGGTTGTGGCCCAGGAGAGTTTGTTCAACCACACAAATAGTTGTGTGGGAAATCAGTTCTCCAATGCAGTGTATGGCAGAGTCTCCCTGAGCAGAGTGAGGTGTCCCAAAGCACAAGCAGCTGGGGCACCAAAACTCTGCTCCTTGGGACAGGGACAGATGAAGTGAGGATGCAGTTTGTCCCTGGGACAGCGGGGCTGGGGTGAGACACAAGGGCTGGTTCCCTCTGTGCTGGCCTGGGCGTGGAGTCAGAGAAACTCATATTCCCAGAAACTGCTGCTGGAACTCGGGATACTATACCAGGTGTGTGTGCACATATAAGGTGTGCACCTACTTACCCCTTCTGGTGGGACTGCTACTCCCTTTCCCCTCAGTGGTACCTCCTGGAGCCACAGGGAGCCAATGTTACTGCCTTGAATACACACACACACACACACACACACAGCAAATGACTAGGCCTTGTGGAATGTGCCTTGGCTATTGACTGCTTCTCCTCCCACAAGGCTTCTCAGAACCAAAATCCCATTTCTAAAATAAACTAATTTGCTATCTCCTCTTCTGCTTATAAAACCAGTGGAATATGCCATGGACAAACAGGTTTAGATGGGAACAACACTGTCTGGAGCCCAAAAGACTGCACACATTGGCTCTCATGGCTTCCTCTGGGTCTAGAAGACACATTCAGCTGCCCTGCAATTGGGCTGATAGAAAGGAGGATTTTAGAATGCAGGGTGCTAACCTTATCACCATCCCACCTATACCATCATAACCCCAAACACTTCAGGACATGATTGTCAAGAATAGGTGACTTGGGGGCAGGTGCTGTGGCACTGTGGTATAGTGGGTTAAGGCCCTGGTCTGCAGCGCTGGCATCCCATATGGGTGCTGGTTTGAGTCTGCCTGTTCCACTAAACTCCCTGCTAGTATGCCTGGGAAAGCAGTGAAGGATGGCCCAAGTGCTTGGGCCCCTACACCCATGTAAGAGACCTGGAAGAAACTCCTGGTTCCTGGTTTTGGATCAGCTCAGCTCCAGCCATTGTGGCCATTTGGGGAATGAACAGTGGATGGAAGACCTCTCTCTCCGTCTCTACCTCTCTCTGTAATTCTTTCAAATAAATAAAATAAAATCTTAAAAAAAAAAAAATAAAAGAATAGGTGATTGGGGCCAGCATTGTGGCATGGCAGGTAAAACCACCACCTATGATATCCTATATGGGCACCGGTTGAGTCCTGGCTGCTCTCTGTCCAGCTCCCTGCTAATGGTCTGGGAAAGCAGTGCAGGATGGCCCAAGTGCTTGGGCCCCTGCCACCCACATGGAAGATCTGGAAGAAGCTTCTGGCTCCTGGCTTCAGCCTGGCCCAGCCCTGGCCATTGCAGCCCTCTGGGAGATGAACCAGTGGATGCAAAATCTCTCTCTCTCTCTCTCATTCTCTCTCTGTAGCTCTTTCAAATGAGTAAATGAACAAATAAATGAAGCTCTAAAACAAAACAAAACAAAAAGAATAGGTGTCCAACCCACACATTTACGAGTCACTGATTTTCCACAAACACACCAAGACATCGCACTGGGGAAGAGAATTTTTTCCACGAGCGGTGCTGGGCTAAGTAAACAGTTAATGAAGAAGAATACAGCAGGACTGTCTGCTCACACCACACACAAAGCCAACTCAAAATGCACCACACACCTACATGTAAGGCTGACACTACAAAGCATTTTGAAAGAAATATAGGTATAGATTTCATGTCTTTTATTAGGAAGTGGTTCCTTAGATGTGATACCTAAACCATACGCAACTAATAAAAAAGTTAAATTGGACTTCATCAAAATTAAAAACTTTTGTGCTTCAAAACACATTATTAAGCAAGGGAAAAGACAACCCACAGCATGGGAGAAAATACTGTTTTCAAGTCATAGATGTCTAAGGGTCTATAACCAGAATAAAGAGCTCTCATAATTCAATGACAAAAATACAACCAAATTTTTAAAACAGGAAAATTGAATAGATTTTTCTTCAAAGAAAGTAGACAAATGGCTAATAAGTTAATGAAGATTTCTGAATCATTAGCCATTCAGGAAATGCAATTCAGAACAACAATAGGATACATCAACAGGGATAGCTACAATCAAAGACAGTGAATAATAGGTGTTGCCAAAAATGCAGAGGCATTGACTGGTATACATTAGTGATGGGAATGTAAAATAGTACTGGTACTACCTAGCACAGAATTATATACTTTAAAATCGTGAACTTTGTGGTATATGACTCCTATCTCAAAAATAAAAGAAAGTGACTAGGATCAGTGTTGTGGCACAGCAGGTCAGGTGCTGCCAGACTCCGATAGCACCAGTTCAAGTTCTGGCTGCTCTGCTGCCAATCCGGCTTTCAGTTAATGCACCTGGGGAGGTAGTAGAAAAAGGCCCAAATACCTGGGCCCCTGCCACCAACTGGGGAGACTTAGACGGAGTTCCTAACTCCTGGCTTCAGCATGGCCGAGATCTGGCTGTTGCACCCCCCTGAGGAATGAACAAGCAGATGGAAGACCTCTCTTCGCTCTCTCTCTGATGCTCTGCCTTTCAAATTAATAAATAAATCTTTTTTAAAAAATGGGTGACTGAATAGAGAAAGATGAACAGGTATTTATGGAATAGTTATAGGGGCAGGCAAGTGGGTGCTGCCCTTGCTCTAAGATGTAAAGGCACCCTGACGACGAGGGCAGGACAAACTCCGCAGCACAGCATGGTAAGCCTGTGACACTGCATCCCTTACGGATGCCAGTTCGTGTCCCGGCTGTTCCACTTCTGATCCCGTTCCACGCTAATGTGCTGGGAAGCAGAGAAAGGTGGTCCAAGTGGCTTGGGCCCCACCCCCACGTGGGAGACCTACATGAAGCCATTCTGGCTCCTGGCTTTGGCCTGGTCCAGCCCTGGTCGTTGGTGGCCATTTGGGGAGTGAGGCAGTGGATGGAAGCACACGCTCTCTCGCTCGCTCGCTCGCTCACTTTCTGTAACTCTTCCAAATAAATAAATCAATCTTAAAAACAAACGCATACACATAAAAATCCAGAATCTCTATTTGCAGGGAGAGGGCAATGTTGAGTTCTGGAAACAAAGGGGTACTTTCCATAGGCAGAGAAGGAAAGAATATTTGCTAATCAATTATTTACATTCAGATCACTGTGACAGGATGCGGCCACCTTACAAAATTAACTAGCAAGATAGATTTTTAACAAATGTCCCCTGTGAAGTCCCAGTTCTTTATGGCACCTGGGAGGTGACACAGTGAATAAGAGACTGCTTCCAAGAGCACCTGTCTCAGCACACTTCAATTCCTTATCTGGAAAACAGGAATGGTAATTGCACCACCACTTAGACTGTGACAAAGATTAGGAAAGATAATACAGGCAAGATGCTTAGTAGCAACTGGTACTCAATAAATACTAACTTCAATTTGTTAAAGCAGTTGCTCTTATCACTGATAAGATTGTTTAGTCTGGGTCAGCGCTGTGGTGTAGTAGGCTAAACCTCCACCTACTGCACTGAAATCCCGAATGGGCACCAGTTTGAGTCCCGACTGTTCCACTTCTGATCCAGTTCCTTGCTGATGGCCTGGGAAAGCAGTGGAAGATGGCCCACTTGCTTGGGCCCCTACACCCAAATGGAAGAGCCAGAAGAAGCTCCTGGCTCCTGGCTTTGGACTGGCCCTGGCCCAGCCCCAGCTGTTGCGACCATTAGAGGAGTGACCAGCAGATGGAAGACCTCTCTCCTGTCTCTCCCTTTCACTATCTGTAACTGCCTCTCAAATAAATAAATAAATCTTAAAAAAAAAAAAAAAGATTGCTTAACCTTTAAGTACAGAAACACAAAAATGTAGGAAAAAAAAACAAATTATTAAAGTACTAACATAACCAAAATGATTACCAATTATAAATGAAACCCAATCTGTAAGAAAGACATTTAATGACAAAATAGACTGCGTGTTAAGAACAAATGAGTGGCCAGCGCCGTGGCTCACTAGGCTAATCCTCCGCCTAGCGGCGCCGGCACACCGGGTTCTAGTCCCGGTTGGGGCGCCGGATTCTGTCCCGGTTGCCCCTCTTCCAGGCCAGCTCTCTGCTGTGGCCAGGGAGTGCAGTGGAGGATGGCCCAGGTGCTTGGGCCCTGCACCTCATGGGAGACCAGGAAAAGCACCTGGCTCCTGGCTCCTGCCTTCGGATCAGCGCGGTGCGCCGGCCGCAGCGCGCCGGCCGTGGCGGCCATTGGAGGGTGAACCAACGGCAAAGGAAGACCTTTCTCTCTGTCTCTCTCTCTCACTGTCCACTCTGCCTGTCAAACTGTCAAAAAAAAAAAAAAAAAAGAACAAATGAGTGCTGATGCCTAAAGAAATGCCACCATGGACTGGCGCTGTGGCTCACTTGGTTAATCCTCTGCCTCCTAACCATATGGGCACCGGGTTCTAGTCCTGGTAGCTCCTCTTCCAGTCCAGCTCTCTGCTGTGGCCCGGGAGGGCAGTGGAGGATGGCCCAGGTGCTTGGGTACCTGCACTTGCATGGGAGACCAGGAGGAAGCACCTGGCTCCTGGCTTCAGATCGGCGTAGCACCAGCCGTAGCGGCCATTTGGGGAGTGAACTAACGGAAGGAAGACCTTTCTCTCTGTCTTTCTCTCTCTCACTGTCTATAACTCCACCTGTCAA